CTAACTGAATTAAAAGGAAAAAAGTCACAACGAAATAAAACTAAACTATAATGAAAAATCCAAAACTATTATAACTTTGGTTTGCAGGAAATTTCTGAAACAATCAGCTCACCTTCTTGTTGAGTTCAGGGTAGCGGGTACCAGAGTATTTGATCCTCTGCTCAATAACTCGACCTGTTAGTGTGTTGCAGCCTTTTAGTTCACATAATTTCTCATAAATCTTCATCATCTGTAAAAGAAAAAGAAGAGTTAATGATGGCTTGTTGTAATGTTTTATCTTTATTCTGGTGATGCAGCTCCATCTGTTTGACGTCACAAACCTTCCGTTTGAGTTTGTGCTCCTGGATGTACGTCGAGTCTTCCGTCTCCATGTCGTCTAAACTCAGCTCCGCCTGCTGCAGGCGGTAGATCTCATCGTTGTAAACCTTCAGGAGGTTCTCCAGGTATGCAATCTGGATTCAAAAACAAATATAAACCATTATGAGTCTTTACAGGAAACGAACAGTTTTAATAAATAATTTGTTTTGATTTATTGACCTGTTTCCTTAAAGCTCTCTTAGCTTTCCTCTCAGCCTCTGGATCCTCCTCTTTAGGTTTTTCCTGGACCTCTGAGGTGGTAGATTCTTCCTCTACCGCAGACTTATCTTCCTCTTCCTCCGTCTTTCCCTTAGTTTTGTCTTTGAACTTGAGTGAAACCGAGGTAGATGGACGTGTACCTGATTTATCTGCAGGCGGCTCAACCTTGGTGAGGGCCTGCCTCTTTTTGACAGTGTGCTGCCGGAGGACCGTGCAGAGATCATTGATGTAGACAAACGTTTTGGTGAGGTTGGCCTGAGCGCGAGTCAGACATCGTCCCAGACTGTTCCTGAACTCGACGGAGGACAGAAAATCAGGAGAGGCCTTGGCGTGCTTCGCTTGAAGGTAGGTTAAAACCTCGGGGCAGTCCTTAGTGAGAGGAGTGCAGTGCTCCACAAACTGAGGGGACAAAGAAGATTAAAACGATGCTACATGAGCTGATCGTTCTATGAGCTAAAGAACAGCTAAAAACAAGTCAGGTAAACATGAATATGTTCATATCTTAAGAAGCTATTCACTTAGAAGTTTTTGAGTTTTCAACAAGTTTATTTAGTTATTACACACCTCACATCAAACATCAAACACACACCTAAAGCTGTCACATATCAGCGTTGTGCAGGAAGTCATGTTTGAGACTTAAGTCATTAAAGAGACCAGTGAAGGCAGTGTTTGTTATTAGAGAATGCATTAAAGAGAGAAGTGAATAAAAGTCTGAAATTTCTTATTTTTTAAGTTTCAAGTCAATATCTGATCTGAAGGGTGAGAGTAATGAATAAAATTGTGCCTAAGTTAAGATAAAAAGATGTTTTAATGATGTCTCACCTCGCTGAATAACTTCTCGTTCTCTAACTTGAGGACATGAACCTCCTTCTTGGCGGTGGCGAACGGGGACTTGGTGATGTGGGTGGGYGCTGAGGTCTGAGGTCTGAGCGGTGAAACATGCTTGGTTTTTTGCTCAGAGGATGAGGCGGCAGCAGAACGCTGAGGCCGAGGGCTTGTTTCTTCTTCACCGTCATCATCGAGGACTATGATCTTATCTGCTAACGAGGCAGGAGCCACCGCCATTCAAACGTTGTTTAGTTCTGTTTATAAAACACACAAACAGGCAGAATGTGGTGAACTGTGTCAGGAAAGTTATAATCGTTTAAATATTTGGTAGAAACTGTAAATCTATAAATTTGTTTCTGACTGCCAAACCTTCTCACTTGGTTAGAAACAAGGCCACACTATTTAAAGTTTTCAAATGCCATTAAAGAGTTATAATCTCATTATAAGTTACTGAATTGTGTGGAAAAATATTTCCCTGAAAATYTAAGGGCTTTTAGACTGACTCCAGATTAAAAATTATCTGGAAAACTACATTAATACTGAAATTTATTGATCTGAGTTCCCCAAAATATTGGATAACACATTTTAAAGGAACACAAACTGTTTCTACACAACTTCCTTTACATTTAAAAACTGTTGGGA